TCGATGTTTCTCTGCGGATTTGAGCTGTACTCAGCAAGTGCAGTAAGGCTGCGCAATCAGAAAAAAAAAAAAGCAGCGGATGCCTGTTTTCTGACTGGTCGGCGGACCGCCGACCGGTCGGCCCCGATCGGTCGGGRCAAAACGGTTGGCGGTCGGGGTCGGCGGTCGGCGCCGGTGCAACGCTGCCGTTGTGTACTACCGGTTGTCCGAGGCTCGGCAATGACCGGGCTACCGGTAGCCTGAGCCACGGGCCTTGACAACTGGTAGGTACTGGTGGTTTAAATTGTCGCTATTATTCAGTAGAGTAACCAGCTATACATAAGATCTATTGCTTCTCCAAATTTAATTTTTAATAGTTGTTCCATCCAATCAGCTAATTGGGCCACCTTATGCTCTAGTGCTATCTGAGTTTCCTCTCCCCCTTCAGAATGGAAAGAGTCCCTCATCGGAGTGCCCCTAGGTACCTGTTGTGGATCAATATCCATGGGAGCAGGTCCAGATGCATCTTTAAAGGGGTCCTGTTTCAGTGGTCTGTCTTGATTTTCCAACTGATCTGTTCCTGATTCTTTCCCTGTAGCAGCTGATTGTCCCCCGTTTATTGATGACTTTGGCCCTATCCCTGTTTGCGCAATGGTCTCCCTGATGCGGTACTTAAGAACTCCCTGCACCCCTCCCCTACTTACATTTTTTTTTTTTTTTTTTTCCCCTTCCGTTCTTACTTTTTGGCTCTGTTTTTTTCTTTTAACTAATTGCTGTTCCTTTCTGTGGTCCAAATCTGAGTCCTGTTCCATTCCTTGATCACTGACCGTGGGAGGAGGGGCTGTGATCATGCTTGAGGGGGATGCCAGAACGACTGTTCCTTCTGCAACCTCAATTTGTCCCCCTTCTCTATTTGGGAGAGAACTGTTAAAACCGTAGATTCTGTGACCCTGACTGTCGGCAGACCTGCAGGGGGTGGCCAGTCAATGACAACTTCCCAGTGTTCCCTTTGTGGGACAATATAATGGCGAGATCCCACCGGCAAAAACGATTGGAATACGAGTCTGAATCTGGTCGTGTTTGTGGAGAGGTGCAAGAACTGTAATTGATCTGCTTTTCTGCATCTCTTCCTGGAACACGTCCTGATTCACACACTTATTCCAATCCTCTTTGCCAGTGGGATCTGGCCCTAACTGCATGTTATGGATGTATGTCTGGATGATGCTCCAAACAACACTGATACGCTTCCTGCCAATTGGAATTGCAAGGGCAGGGTCCCACCTAACTGATTTTATTATTTCTCACCTTTGGACTCCATCTTAATCAGCAGTGGGAGCCTGCCCCCAGTGGTGGAAGCTTCTACCAGTCTCGGATGGAGGCACAGAAATTTGCTGCAGATTGTTGCAGAATGGTTGCCAGACAATCTGCCTCACCTCTTCTTGAATGACATAGAAAAGAAATGCACCGATTTCGGAAATGGTGCTTGCTATTTGGCATGTCCACTTTCTGCTGTCAAAATGCCCTTGACAGTGGATACCGTCCAGAGGTGGATCAAGCATCTGATCAGTATCCTCGGCAAATACAGGTTGGCAGGGACCCGGAAAGATCTCTGCAGTTATGCAGTTTTTTTTTTTTTTTTTTTTTTTTAAATCTCAAATACCATTCATATTATAAACAATTTGAACTGAGGCCGGAGACCTCACAATTCAACCTGGAGTTATCCTGTCAGCATTAGCCAGTTTCGCTTATGAGTCTGGCAGAACCAGAACTGAAGACGAATACCAAGCAATCTTGCTCCTTTCTTGTTACCCAATTTCGCTTAAGCCTTACGGCCCAATACAGCCAGAGAGTCGGTCAAGAACTACTGCTAATCTATGAAGTAAATCCTGCCGAACTAACTGAACCTATCAAATTCACGAGAGTTCCCGAGACAGATCCAGCGTACAGAAAAGTAAAAACCAATACCAAAGGAAAGGCCCGTCGGACCAGCTAATAGCCGTGAGGAGCCTGGGTTGCCGTGACGAGGTTTCCCGCCTTGTACCCTTGGACCTCTGTAGGAGCTGCCGTATTCCAGGCACCCTAGATCTGAATGGGTACAACCCCAGTTTGTACTTGTCAGCTAATCGGTGGTGCAGTAGCTCAGCAACGTTGCCACAACTACAAGTAGGTCTCCCACTACCCCCAGTAGTTCCATTGCCTGCTACGGACAAACCCCAAACTGCCAAGCAAAACGGACCAGAGCTAACGCAAGGAGGGAAACTCCACTGGTGCCCCCCAGTGGCCTTCCACCCTTTACCTGACCAGGCCACAGGCTAGGAAGGGGGTTAAAGGTTCAACATGGGACGCTGGACCCGTATTCCAGCACAGTGGTGTCCTTTTCAAATGGAAAGATTTGTAAAGATGTATTCAAGGGATGCTGGACCCGGTTTCCAGCAGGTGATGCTCCCCACCAATAGATGGAGCTGCTCTAGAGATAGCATTAAAGAACCTCAGTATGAGTGGAAGGAAGGCACTGGGTTACCAATAAAGTCTACGACCGGACCGAAATCAACCAAGTAGACAAATTTGCCGCCCTGGGTTCTTCCCTTTCCTACAAGCAAGAGGTGTGTGCTAAAGTGCACGCTACAGCCAGAGATAGAGGGGAGCAGGGATCTGGCCTATAAATCCCGTCAGATATGAAATGTAAGAAATTTAGTAAGCCCACTTCCAACTTCTAGCTCATAGGAGAGTCATGCTGAAATCCGAAATAAGAAGATGCTTGGATTTGGCTTACCAATTCGGTCACCTGCAGAGAACCCGAGCTACGGAATACACTCCCACTCTCGCACACCAAGGGCACCAACACTCCTGACGTTATGATTGCAACTAAGAGGAGGGAGGAGACCCTAAAACATGAAAAAATACGCTGTTACTGCGTACAAACCAAAACTAATACCATGTCAAACGAAATTTCACTGATAACTGAAACTTATGAAGGCAGACCAGGAAACTACTGAAACACCCAAGAATAAGACCAAGAAGAGAGTAACTCCAAAGTCATGGAGAAGAAAATGGAATGGAATTTCAAATTTGAGGTAAATAAAAGGCAAGATAAGGGAACAACGAGGCTGGCGCGCGTTAGGGCTAGCGCTATGGCTGGCGGGCCGCCACGGCACGCGGATGGTGGCATGATGGTTGCTTGCAGGCGAGGTGCAGACTGGTCGGAGGTGGCGGGGCGCTGGCTTCTCGCAGGTTGCGAGGCGCTGGCTTCTCGCGAGTGGCGAGGCGCTGGCTGTGTGAGTGCAGCAAGGCACTGGCTGCTGGCGGGGGGCGAGGCGCTCGCAACAGGTGAGTGGTGGGGCGCTGGTGACTTGCGGCTGGCGAGGCACTGGCTTGGGGTGACTAGTAACAAGCTAGCTGACACGTGGCGCGGTGCTGGCAGCCGACGGGAGGGAGGCGCTGGTGTGAGGGTGCTGTGATGTTGTGAATTAGATGGGGGATAGCGCTTGACACACGCGCGGTATCCAGAGGCGCTGGGTCATTACTACGTCACAGGTTGACGTGGCATCTGGCCTGAGGCACAGAGGAAAAGGGAGAATGGTAGCGGCAGCTGCTGTTTGAACATTTTCCCTGTGTTTTTCACATGAAGTACTCCAAAGCCAAGACCTTTAAAGAGGCTGGAGAGCTCATGCGAGTTGACGAAAGTCCATGTCAGTG